CGGAATGACACTTCCGCAGATTTAGGAGAAATCCGAGAAATCATCGGAATCCCACCATGCAGTCAATTTGAAAAAAAATCCCTTCCACATCGGTCAGAGAAAAAAAACAATCCACAATGGATTGCAATGTTCTTTCGCGCATAAAACAAGAGATCGATCCTCGCTCGACCATGCGTTTCGCCACCCAGCGCATTCAGAAGCCTACAAGGAACACCACTCTCGTTCACGGATGGAATCTCCTCGCCGCACGATCGCAGCGCCAACTGGTGAGAGGCGCTCTCCCTACCCCAAGCCAACCATCGGCTGGAAACAGGAAGACGGTTCGGTCCACGGAGCGGGGTCCCTACGTGAGGATGTGAAGGCGCGTCGGCCGAAGGGGAGCTTGTCCTCGTCTAGGCTTATGATACGCCTTAGGGCGTAATTTTAACGTTGGGCCGGAAACGTCAAAGTATGGTTTATCTGTGCGGCCTGACGATGTTGTAGGTATCGCTAGTCTAAGACACACACATTGGCTTAAGTTTAAGATAGTCATTGTAAGGATGCAAGTGATTCGTCCGATGCCATCTCGTGTTCGAGTCCTCATCCGTCTGTTGTCGTGTGCAGTCGTACAGAAATGTACCTGCGAAATTCGACGATGTCGGGAATGTCACGTTGATACCTCGTCAGTTTGGCAGAGGTTGTTTATTGGTTGACCCGGTTCGCATTGCCAAACCTGTGTACCAGTCTGGATTGGGTTTCACGACCGAGGAGTTGAAAGGAGGTAGGACCGAGATACAAGAAAAACATTTCATCCGGTGGAATAAATTTATTCGTATCCCATTTCACTGCTGGCAATCTGTTTAGATGAAATACATCAATTGTGGCCTTCATCCTGTTTTCCAGGATTATTGTGTTCCTTCCTGTATATGTACATGGTTTTGCATTCTCAATCATTCCATTTTTGGGTTCATGACTGGTAGAAACATCGAGACAGGGAAAAGCAGCGGAGCTACTGCAACTCGAGGTACGTGAGCTTGAAATTTTCCACCACATGCATCTGGCACAGGATCGGTATCGATGCGGCTCTGTCCCGACGACCATCACGGCCTTAGTCTCTCTTTTGCCTTTCCCCACCATTGTCTACTCTCATGCAGATTCCAACCGGATAGATTTTACAGTAATCACACTCTATCTTTGAGGTATCTCACACATCTACAATGCTTTCGGGTACTGTAGGCAATTGCATTTGTCATAGCAGCAAGTTCCCAACATCAAGAAAGATAATAAAGATTGACAGATCTGATTCCAACTAAAGGATCTGTTCACTTGCCCTAGTCAGTCCAACCCATTCCCCACTGTGGCCTGTATGGAAGCAAATGCATCAATCTTATGGTGACTGACATATATTCATTGAACAAACAGAAAGCTGTTCACAAAATGGCAAATTAATATTCAGACAAAATGCCATTTGGAGGAGAGGCCTTCATAATCCTATTGTGCACTGTTTACAAGGGTGCCTTGTTGCATAAGAGCCTGGTATGTTTCATGTTAAAAAAAAAAGAGCATTTCCAGGGTTGTGGGCCTCTGTCACTTGCAACACATTGAGGCTATCCATACCAGTTGCAGCCAACAGTCTCACATTTTCATAGGAAGTAAACCTCAGGTACAAGCAGCATCCAAGCTCCAATAAATTGGCTGGATGAAGTGGTACAATGAACTGCTAGCAGGTTTCATCCCCAGGTGCTGATCAATACAGCCTTCCAGCCAAGTAAAGCAGAAAGGTGCATTAATGTAAGAATCATAGAGTAAAATGCCTTTTGCTACTCGAATCATTGAGATAAGCAAATGTGGAAAGCCTAATTTTTCCCTCATCAAATCATATCCAATGCATATGGGGTGATTGAAAAGTCACTCCCTTTTCTTAAAACCTCATAACTTTTTTAAAAGGAGGATATTAACATCGGGTGGCATAGGGAAGGGCTTCCTTGGGCTTCCCGGTCAGTGACACTGATAGGCATGTTTCAACCTTCCTTGGGAATTCCAATTTTAGCTATGCTCCTTCGAGGAAAGTTTGATGTCCATCCACAGATCCAAGATGCGAGACCATGATTTCTTTGAAAAGGTAAATTCTGAGTAGTGGAGCTAGGCATAGGGTTGGGGTGTCTACCTGGTCTCAAGCCCCCCCTTGCCGATTCCCTGCCTATGCCACTGTTAACATCTTTCTTGCAGCATTTGGTAGCCATTTTCATGGAATTTCACTCCAATTACACCTAGGCAAACGCTTCAGCATGATCATTATTTTCCAGGGATGCATGAAAACATTTTTTTCACCAGCTTGATGGCCTCTGGAGCCCAGGCTCTTGAAGGTCACCCACTTTGGTCCACATGTTCTACTAAACCAGTTGTCAACCACATGTGGCATTTTTTAATTCTCTTGGGATCAAGAGTTTCATACTTATGATTTTCATGCTGCCAACACCTCTGAACCTAGACTACAGGTGTGTTACATGCACACTCTGTCTGCCCAGAGTATGTTATACACACACACACTCCGTCTGCCCAGAGTATGTTACGTGCATACATGCTCACTTGCACACTGAGTCTGCTTAGGCTTTGTAACATGCACAAAACCCTAGCTATACTGTTCGATGTACAAGACACAGACCCCCAAACCTCATACTGCTCTGTAATATCAGTATGGCCACTGACAGTCAACTGTTATGCCATCTTTCATCGTGTGTAGTAAAATTAAAATTAAAATAAATCAAAAATACTTCCATAAAAATGATTCTCAAATGCCATAGGAAAGAAGTTTCTAGCCCTATAACAAGAGTGACAAATTATTTAAAATAAGGAGTAACTTCTCAATCACCCTGTAATATGAGACTATGAACTCCTTTTCTTTGAATAATGGAAATAGGCATATGTCCATACTTTCAAGATCTCCAAATCCTCAAAAGTAATGTGCTTTTGTAGTTGATATTAGGAGTTGGAGGCTCTGTTTCTGCCTGTGATACTTCAGAGCTAAAACCAATTCTGAGAAGTCATATTCCAATGGACTTGCCTTACCCCAAGGGTTAAAGGGCACCCTGATGAGGATTTCAGGTACTGAGCTCCGAAGTACAGGGTGTTTCAATAGTCACTTCCACTGTTCAGACAACTTCCCCCGGGAAACCAATGGGACACAATGTTGTGAAACTTGGTGTATTGACCAATTCAACCATGCAGCAGGCAACATGCACAGTCTTATAGTGTGTTATGATAATGTCAAGGTCACACCACATGATAACCATGGTTGACAAATAGAACGCATTTTAACCCTTTCAGACCTGAATTAAGGCCACTATCGGAATAATATAATATTTTGCATTTTTTAGCTTTTTCGGGATTGTAATTGAAATTTTCATTCTTTACATGCATGAGGTTTTAATTTTTTGTATAAATTTACCACATCATACCATATATTATATATTAGACATTTAATTAAATAACTGAAGATTACAAAACTAATGAGTGAAAGAATGCTTTGATGGAACTGGGCCATGCATAATTGCACCCATTGTAGCATTATATGGAGTCACAAGTATCCTAAGAAATTGCCATAGACACAATGTAAATGCAATGTCCATTGGAACGGACGCCAGGTCTGAAGGGGTTAATAGCTGTTTGACATGGTTTCCATTGATGATAGTCATCATCACCAATAGTGACAACACATTCCATACTGCTGCTCAAAGCATATTGGGGTATGGAGTAGATTTCCTGCCATATGTTTTCCAATTCATGGCATGCTGTAGGGATACTGCAGTAAGCATGATTCTTAAGGAGGCCCCAAAGCCAGTGATTGCTGGGTGAGGTCAGGCAATCTTGCAGGTCAGTATTGTTAAAGGTGATGACTGAAGACACATTCTCCAGGAAGATCCAGAATGTTTTTTCACTGGGTTTGCAATGTGGGGCAGAGCACCATCTTGCATGAAAATCAGATTTTACCTATATATCATGGATAAGACAGTACTGGGGGGATCTGGTTTTCTGACACTATTATTGTGACTAGTATGACTATGTACCTATGTGGTCAAAATGGTCTACACACAGAGAGAACAGTGGAATTTACTTTTGAAAGACCTTGTAGTGCTAAGAATTACTTTCTCCTAATTATGCCACCAATCTCTGGAAGTTAGGCACCATTGAACTTGTATAAACAAAAGGGGATGTACAATATATTTGTGTTACCTAATACAAATACAGCAAGTCCTGAGATGTACTTACAACAACTTCATCAACAAAGAAAATGTCAGGCAGAAAGGACCATCAAACTCCCTTTCCTTGTATTGCTTTGTCTCCTTGTCACCCACTAAACAATGTACTAACTGTCATAACACATAATAACTTCCCTTCCTGCATTCCCCCTCCTTCAACCAAGTTTTTCTTTCATCCTAGGTTATTGTGAGAAGTATGGGAGGTGGGATGTCCATTTCCTCTTTGAAGCAGGGTTACTCAAGTGCCAAAATAAGCATGGAAACACTGTTCCCACTTTCATCGCAAAAATACATTGATGGCAATGGCCATGCTCGTCACCACACTCAGAAGTTCTCAAACAGTTGCAGCTGCTTCAGAGCATAATTTGCAAAAGAAACCAAACAACTGAATTCTGTCAAGTTCCAGTCCCCAATATGAACACAGTAAATGTAAATGATGAGATCTGTTGGATTATTTAAAGCTACCATGCTTCAGGTAAAGACCTAGGCAGTTTTGCTGGTATGCATTCATGAATTTTCAGGCCTAAATACAGTTTCTACATGTAGTTGAAGCATATTTTCTGTGTGATACCTGGTACTTATATAGTAGTAAATTTATAGGTTACTCTTGGTTTAGGTCCATGGTATGCATGGCAACTCTGATTCCCATCTTTTATCAGCCCAGGAAATCCTGATGGTCAGAGAACTATTAGCATCGCTAAGGAAAGGTTATATCTTATCTCTGGCAGTTTGCCATCCATGAGGAAATTAATCAAGAAAGAATTGAGACATGAAGTCCAGAATTTTTTATTTCTTTTCTTCCCTCATTCGTGCCCACTCACACAATCATCAATCACCCAATCAAAACAAAAGGTGCAAAAGCAGCAAGTCTCCAGCCATATTTTTTTTTCTGCTCTTTCTTTACAGGGAACACGGTTCAACGTGCCAGGAAGAAAAGAGAGAAAATTTTTCACTTTCCTTTTTCATTTTTCCTAGAGACTCCAGACTCCTCGGAATCCAAAACATAGAATACCTTATGCGAAATACTTTTTTCTCTTTCTTACAGGGTGAGACAAGACTAGTTTCTCTCTGTAATACAAGCCACCGGTATCATCATGACAGAAAGCTCCATGTTTCCAAATCGGACCAAGTTGACTTTGTTCAGCTTCCGAGGAGTCTAGGGGAAGAAAACTTGGAGGAGTCAAAATGGAGAGAGAAAGAGAGAAAGGTGCACAACAGGGCTTGCATCCAAGTATTTACAACTTCCCTCATTGCAACTTTTTTTTCCCAAATTTTTTTTTTTTAATTTCATCTTTTTATCTTGACTAAAACTCTTCCCTCATGTTTATGTACAAATTTTTTTTACCCCCTCCAAATCTCTTGCTTCCTTTTAAGCCAACAGACATTCAAGACAGGCAAACAGACACAGAGGCAAAAAATGACTTTGCAGGGAGACATGTCACAAAAAATGTGGTATCACAAAATAAACGACTTTAAAAAAAACATTGACGTTGTCCATCAAAAATTCTGTTCCATCACAATTGCACTTTGTACAAAAAAGAAACATGAAAAACAAGAAAAGTTTTCTCTTTTCTTGCAGTCACACACACCCAGGCTCACAATCTTCAACATTTCTTCTCATTTCTGAACGCCTTAATTTAGCAGTTTTTTGCACAGACACACACACATGCACACACATTGAGAGGGGTGAAATTCCACGCCCCCTTGATCCAAATCGCTGGTTCCTTCAATAGTTTCTTCCTTTTTTTTAGTGAACAATGCTGCTCTGACATGAAAGAATGATTCCTTCAGCTCCCCAGAGAAGGAAAAAAAAAGAAAACAAGCACAGAAAAAAAAGGGCCAAAAAAAGCTTATGACTATGCTTAAAATTTGACCAAAAGACCTTGGCTGTGACTAAACTTGCTTCATATTAGTCTGCATCACAGAAATAGAAAATTCCTTCCCTAGTGATTGAAAATCTTCAATAGGGATGGGGGATGGGGAATGGAACATGTGGGCATTTTCTTCTCGTGTGTTCCCTGCAAACATGGTATACAAAGGCACAACAAAGCCTTGCACAAAATTGGAATGTCCTCAGGGGGAAGGGGAAACCTTACTCCTCTCCTATCTTCCTCCAACTGCATCAAATATATTAGAGAAACCTTTTATCTCGGCATGTTTGCTGCTTATGAATTCAACATCTTTGGTGTTTGCTCAGAAGAAAGACCAGAAGGGGAAACACTGCTATCTATCATTACTAAATCTGCCTTTACTAATATCTACATCTTGGTATCTGACAACCCTGTCATTTGAATTTCAGAGGCTCTTCTGTAGATACTAAAAAAAAAAAATTTGAAGCACCAGAGGAAGTTCTTATCCCAAGTGCTAACTAAATAAAAATTGCACACAAGTTGGACTCCAGCATTGATAAAAAAAAAAGAGAGAAAAAATTGGAATCACAGATGGAATCCCAGATTAAACTATGGTTTTAAAAAGTGGCCCACCTCTTGGGTAACACGGCATCTTGTCTCTCTCATCTGGGTTGAGATCTCTTCCACTTAAATATTGGCAATAAAACAATGAAAAAAAAAGTTGGAGTTTCTCAGTGAGGGAGAGATCAAACTTGAGCCTCGATGGCGGGGTAAGGCCACTTTGACATCTTTCTCTCGTGTGTATACTGGCCTCTGATAAAAACTTACTAAATAAAAAAAAAATCCCTGGAGTGTGGAAGAGAAGAAAAAACTGAAGGACATGATGACACAAGGCACCATCTCAGGACAAAAAAACTCACAGACAGATGAAAAAAAAAAATTCAAACACTCCAGACAAACACCCATTTTAAATTAGAAATCACTTTGGCACGAAAGAAAGTTTGTTCCATTCTGTTTGGAAAGAAAGTTTGTTCCAGGGTTGTGGTTGAGGATGCCGTTGAGCATTCGGCATTGAAGGTTTCCTATGGCAAAAAATTCCCATTGCGTCCTCAGAAGGTGCAATTCATATTTTTGAAGAAAAAAGTAGTTCAGAAGGCGAATGGTTTCCCCTTTGCAGAGGATGCTGTGTTAGGTTGGGTGTGTTGTGTGACTAGTCATCTTTCTTGGCTCCCACAGTCCTGTGTGTGTCCCTAAAAAAACACTCTCTAAAGCTCTCTCCAGGCAAAAAAAAACCTTTGTTGTCTGATTGCGCCTGCTGACAGCCAACAAACTTTCTTCTCCAGCCAAGGCACCTCTGTCAATTTTCTTCTTATCCTCTCTACATCTGCAACATAAATAAATAGGAACGTTAAATAATACAGGATTGATGTATTTTGAGAGCTCAAATGAAATATTAATCTGTGTAGCATATAGGAGCACCTACTTCTCTTTGCAGCCTAGCTTCATGATTTAGGGTGACATGCACCAGATCCATTTAACTTGAACTAATCGCATCACACAACGGTCCTCTATGGGGATTCATTTGATGGAATTAATCTTATCCCCATAGATGCCCATTATGAAATGACATCAGTTCAAAGTTAAATAGATCTGGAGCCTGTCATCTATAACCATGGAAGTTTCCTCTATTGTCTGACATTTCTTTTCAAAATTTTCTCGAACAGAATACCCAGAATCCTGGTGTGCCATCAGAGACTCTAACTACGTATCCATTTCCATTAAAATCATATCCACAGATGCATCAACATCCAAATGAATTACTATTGTTGCAGTGCAGTCCATTTATTCACTCTGCTAATTTTTTTATTCTATTTTCTCAACTGAAGAAAAGCCTCATCTCAATCAAAGTTTTTTAAGAATTTTCTAATTCAAAATGCAAGTAAAAAATTCATCTCAATATTTTCTACACTATGTTCCCATTCTGTATACATCTACAAAAAAGGTAAATTATGAATTAACTTTGATGACAACTGGAAGAGTTTCATCTGTAGTTTTCATCCCCTTTTTCAGGAAACGTCATAAATTTCATAAATAACAAACACTCAACATTTTTTCCAAACATTGGAAAAAATGTTTTCCATCAGCATAACCCTCATGCATGAGGAAACTGCAAAGCTAGGGACACTGAGTGAACAATGGTGTTGTTTGATTTGAGTTCAGCCTTACCAAGATGATTGAAAACTAATGCTGAGTGACTTAAAGCAGGGGTGTGCAACCTTTATCAGCAGTGGGCCCCGTGGAAATGTTTTGACTCTTCACATAGACCACAGAATGCAAAAGAAAAGGCTCCCCTCTTTTGCCATTAGGGCACAAGGTCATGCTGATAAGCCAATGACCCTTACCTCTTCCCCTAGGAAATTCCAAGGCCCAAAATTGCTTTTGGCATTGACAACCCCCTTCCTTAGGGCATATGTAGCACCGCCCACATTAGGAATAATTAGGGGAAGAAAATGAAAGGAGGGCTACAGTCAATATCTAGTTACAAAGGGATAACACCAAAGTTGTGATGGGCCTTGGGCTGCAAAGAAACTAATTTCATCTCTCATCCCATTATGAATTACTGGCCTGCAAGAAGCAGGTCCACAAGCCATGGGTTGCACATCCCTGGCTTAAAGGATGATTGTAGCAGAAGGATGTTTTCTGAATTAGGAGGAAGTTTACTGTAACAATTTTGGTGCCTGATCCACTGTGCTATGTAAGGACATGCACCATTCTGCAGGTAGAATGACTTCTAGGCATGTCTACTGATACCCCTTCCCCCAGGACCTCTTTATCCATTTAATAGTTAAAACACCACATAACTAGCTTGGAGATATGGTTCATTGGAAAAGACAACCATGATACAACAACTACAATAAATAGGGAAACATGAAAAACACACCTTATTTAGCTACTTGTGGTTGTTGTTGAGGGACCTGGGGAGGTGCAGAGGCAATGTAAGTTGGTCCAGAGCCCCCATACTCATCAGGGGAGGGGTTGGGGGTGTTTTCATTCATCCCAGCCCCAGCAGCGACTTGGGCACCACCCTCCATCATATGCAATGTCGGGGTCATGATGGGCATGAGCGGGTGACCTGCATATGCCGAGTGCAGGTACCCTGCTGCTCCACCTGCTGCTACATACTGTCCCGAGCACACCATCTGGTTGGAAAAGGTCCAGCTATGATTCTATACAAATCCAGAACAAAAACAATACAAATTCATAATTGGTCCTTCTTTCCATATTGGGTCTAGGCTTTCTCATTCACATAGCATGTTTTAACCCTTTTGTGCATGGTGTCCACTGTAGTGGATGGCAAAATTTTTGGCGATAATTGAGTTTTCAGTCATGGTACTCATACCTTGAAACTTTGGGTGCGTGCAGTCAACTAAAAGGCGCATAATCTGTTCAGTGTCGCTTTCTAGCAGTAGAACATTCTACTACTACGGCAGAGTACCACGTTAAACCGTAAATGGCATATTTTTGTTTTGCACAAAAGGGTTAATGGAAAAGTGTAACTATTCAATAAGCAAGTATGAGCTTTGTAGGTGGTTTTCCAGAATCATTGGCAAAGTTGGTTTTTTAGTTGTGGCTGTTGATAAAAAAAATTGTCCAAAACTTTTTAAAGATGTGCTGTGAAATTTGGCTTAAACGTAGGTATAATGGTGTGATTGAATATCAGTTCCAAGATTGATGATACTGCATTAAATGTTCAGATGAGAATGAAAGTCCACAAGAAAACACAACAGACTGTCTGAGGATAAGGAGCTGACTGGATCTTGTTTATTATGTGTGTTTGTATCCTCATTTCTGAGAGTGTACTTCAATGGATAAGCAAAATATCTCTTTTCCACCACATAGCACATTTTCCAATTAATCTTAACTTGCTGAGCTTGAAAATGCCCAAATAAAAGAACCTTTACATTGATTCCTTTAAAACTGAACCTGTCAAAGCAGTGCTTCTCATTCTCAGTCAGACTTCACTCATTCAAGATCTGAGAAAATAAATATAAAAAAACTAGAATCTCACAGGAGTGGGATGAGAATGGTTGAGCGAGAGTGCCGAGAACTGGTTCAACATTGGTGTATATCCATGGAGAGATGCTGGATCTACTGCACCTGGGATCATCTGAGAATGAGCAGAAAATACAATAACAGAAATAGACACAGCATGGTGTAACAAATACACACAAATTGAGAAGAGCTGACTTCCTTGTTATAAGTACTACTGCAGATATATGCTCTGCCTAGTACCATGTATTGGTGCAGAAAATTAAGCAAATTAGGATTCTTCTGATGCAGTCTCTATTATATTGTGCTCAATTACGACTAAAGAGGAAATTGTCATGAAGCTGAATGCGAGTCCCAGGAGGAATGAAAACTTTTAATTGGTAAGAGTTTCCTGATGGCCCATTTTTTAAGGGAAAATAATCCTCTTGGTAAATTGGGCTATGTTCATTGAGGTGAATGAGAGGAAAGACAAGTACCTCAAGGGATGTGGGCATCTGTGGGCTGTGAGTGTGTGCTGGAGGTGCAGTCTGGGCATGGCCATGCCCTCCTGGTCCTGTTGTGGGTCCTGCAAGTAGGTACTGGGTATGCCCCCCAACTCCAGGCCCTCCCGGATGGAAGGCAAACATGGCCGGATAGGTGACGGCCTGGGATGTCCCCGGGTGCGCTGCCGGGTGATACCCGCGGAACCCGGCCAGGCTGGTCATCATGGGCTGGGATGTCGCTAACATCCCTGCTGCTGCTGCTGCCGCCGCCGCTGCCGCTGCACCGTTCCCCATCCCACCTCCTCGGCTGCCCATCCCATCGTAACCTCCTCCGGCCAGAGAATAGCACTGTAAAACAGGTAGCAGCATGTGATTGCAAGGCAAATATTCTGGCTAATTCCTATTTTTGAAATAGCTTGGCAAAATTTTTATTTTGGCTTGACATCATCTGATATCAGCAAAATGCTGACCCATATTACTTACCTTACAGCTGAACCCTTAAACTCTTACTACCACACCCCCACAAACATGGGATGACATTTACACTATCAAGTCGTTGTTTCATAAACTAGTCACAGTAACATCTTGCATGGTTGACATTGTACATGCTGGCAAGGAGTGAAGGCCAACATAAAAAATGACAGCATGGAGTGACACATACCCCAACTGTGAGTTCCAGGAACTCATGCAATTCAATGTTTGATGCAGAATATTCAGGTGACACTCTGAACAACGACCATAGCAGTCCCAAGAAACAATACCTTCTTTCTAACCACTGGAATGCTTGCCACACTCAGGATTCAATGGTTCAAGACTTTCTATCATGTTTAATGTGCTGGATCCCGGTACTGTCAGAGTACTTGGACCCTTGAGAACAATATACTGTACTCTTCAACATCAATAAATAATACATTTACTTTTCTATCTGTGCATTAGAGGTTAAATTACTTTTCAAGGTGAGAAGGTAATTGAATTCCCATGGCTTTTCTCATTACACACGCATTATGGAGCATTTTCCCAATCAAACTTGATTGTAGATGCTAGTTAGTGGGAAAACTTCCATTCTGGGGCAGGCTGTCATCCAGCACATCAAATTTGCTTGATGAAACTAGTCAAGCAATAAAAACATGTTCTTTCTGCTGCCTTTTGTTATCTCCATGCAAGATATAGATTATGGAATGCAAAGTAATTCAACATCAACTGGAAAAGTAATCAATGCTGAGCTATTGAACGACACTGATGAACTCAACAGATATTAGCAGAGGTAACAAACTTCGACAAAACGTGGCTTAAATAAAACATGTATGCAACTCTTCTAAGGAAACTGAGGGCAGCTAATCCGAAAAACTCCGGTATTTTCAGCTAAAGAGAATGCAATTTAGTGGAACCTATTCTTTTTTTTTTTAATGCCCAAGACCAGCGTGCGACGATCCTCGACGCTACCCCCACTGAAGTGGCAGGGTCACGAGGATCGCATTTCGCACTTGACCCCGCAACTGCCCCCATTCCTGCGACTCGTGACTACTCCCAATTTCCGGTCGCGCCCTGCCGTCCAATTCCGAAAGTGGGGCGGGCGTGACACCCCCACCAGACGAAACCTTGCGAAGACTGACCTCGCCGTACGGGGACTCCGGGTGCCGGTGGGCGGCAGTTCGCTTCTTGTTCCCGCCGTCGGCGAACTTCACCAAAAGCGGCTCGTTATGTGAGAACTTTTTGGAGCCGTTCAGCTGCTGGATGATCTCCTCGCAGATCTCCCGCTTTTCCATCCTGTTCAAAATGCAGATCCACCGCACATGAATACACCTTGCATAGAGGCGTAAAAAAAAAATAATAAAAATAAAATCTAAAAAGGTGGAGACGGTCGGAATCCATGACAGTCTCGCCGAGAAGGCATTAAAACTCGGCACGACAACCCTCTCCACCATGACACGGTGCTTTCGACCGACACCTCCCTATCGGACACCCATCAGCATCGAAAGGAGGAAAGACGGCCCACGGACCTGGCAAAGCCGACGCCCTTGCTGAGGCTGGAGTTATCCCTGAGAATGCGGGTCGATACGACCTTCCCGTAGTCCTGCAACAAATTCTCCAGCTGCTCCTCGTCGAACGTCACCGGCAGGTTTGCGATGTACAGGTTCGTCGGATCCTGTTCTTGTTGCTGTAACACGAAGCGAAACGACAATTGAATGCCAGAAACGCATTTCCAAGCATCAACTTATAAGAGGTAATTTTAGCACAAAATCCGCGAGTGAAGCCCCTCGATTTCGGCAGTTCCCCCCTCCCCTCCCCGGTTTTTTTTTTAACCACGACTGAACGCGCACTGACAGCAATTAGGAAAAAAAATCGAGTCGGCCATACTTAAAATCTGCCTGAAAGACCTGGAAATACATACGCATCTTAAAAAATCCTCTTGCGCATGCGCTAAAAAATGCGTTTCCCACAAAAAAGGATGGCCCCGACGCTATATGGAGGTCTTTCGTGACAACACACACCCTCAAATTACCCCAAAAACATGCAAATGGATGCACCAGACGGTCAGGCAGGATGCATCAAACACGGAAGATCCATCTTGGCATTTTCTCCTGGTTCTCCGTCAGCACCAGACCATTTTTTTTTTGTCCCAAGACCCCCTAATTAAATACCTTGACGCCAAAGTTCCTGTCGAGTGTTAATTAGCCGACCGATTACTTCGATAACTCGGAAAATCCTCATTGGCATCCGCAATCCATACTCCCCGAGATTCCGACACGAGGAAAATTTGCGATGCTGGAACTCGTCCAATCAAATGAAGCGTAAATCTTGGCAGGGCCGAAGCGTTTCGCGATGAATTCATGACTCCGCCAGCCCGCAAAACGCGACACGTTCGGCTTCCCCGTGCCAAAAAATCCCCGCCGAACCGGTCGAAGAAACCGTGTCGGCCCCACGACGAGAATTCATTTTTAATCCCCCGCCGAGACGCAGTGAGAACCTCAGGGACGACCGGGAGAAGACATAAACACACGATACGACGATGATGATGTGAAGAAGCCCTTGGGTTCCTCCCCGACACAAAGTGCGAGGCCGAGAAAGAAGAAACATGTACCCGACCTTGGGAACCCGGCCAAATTTCACTCACGAGCCCATAGCAGACCTCTTTCTTTTTTTTCCATTCTCACAGCCTCTCCCTCCCTTCCTTAATGATGCCTCTCAAAATTATGGGGCATTTATGGCCGTTCGAAGAACCGCGGGGTCGAAACCGATTTCCATCAAACCGAGCCCATCCTCCTGGGAAAGGACAACGAGCAACGCGAGTCGAAAGCGACAACGATCATCATCAAGGACACAACTGCTCAAGGTCATTTCAATGAAACCTCAACTACTTCTTGAGGTCGTAGCAATTCGCCCAGGCAGTACGGCGAACGCGGAAGCAAAAAAAAAAAAAAAAAAATAGCCAGCATCCGCACACAATCTCAATTTTCTCTTTCCCCCGACCCTCAACTACTTAATAATCAGGCGAGCATAACGACTCGGCACGGCAAGATGCAATTATTCTCGAAAGGGGAATGCTACCGGTCCCAGGGGACTTCGTCGACACGTGTCGTCGACATCCTCACACCACGATCGATTCCGAACTCTTTATTTGGCATTTTTTCTTCCACCCTGTCGACCGAACTCTGTCCCCGAGATTCGGGGCAGAGGTGAATGAAACACGCCGAAAAGAAAAAAAATCCACCGCGAAAAGTGCATCGACTGACCCCATTCCGCGCCCCCACAGATGGAGCGAGCGCCGTAATATAACGTGACCTTGCCGTGAGCGCTAGTACTGGTCCTCTTCGGCAAGGGCCGTTACACATCCTGCTTCTCGTACTGGGTGCATCAAAGCACGCATCGAACCGGATTGGCTTCCTCGTGCTATCTGATGAAACCTCCAGAACAATAAACGGGGACTCGGAAGATTTCATTCCGTCATCTCAGAGAGGGCGGGAGGAAAGGAAACAAAAAAAAAAACTTCATAAGGAGGCAGGCCGAAGGAATGAGGTCGGCCGGAGTGGCAGTTGCTGTAGGGGTGAACGCCCCCCCCTCTCCCCCTTCTTCGGGGGGGGGGGGGGGGGGGGGGGAGAGAGTTTTCAAGTCTCCCCTCACTCTCTCTCACTCACTCACTCACTATGGCAATATCCCGGAGGGGCCGGACAGAATCTCATGCCGCCCTGGATTCGCACACACACGCTCACGGATCCGTTCTTTGCCCCCCCCCCCCTATATATATATTCGAATTCACACTCTCGAATGAGATAAATTTTAAAGCACTGTCAATCAAAAATGCGGAATATGTGAGCTATTTTCTGACGAGTGGGGCATCTCCTTCTCCCATGCTTCCCCGAGTCTCAAAACACAGAAACCTCTCGCCAAAAGTTTGCTGCCGGCTGCGCCATTCCCAAAGCCAAATCGACGCCAAGCCCACCACAACCCCCGTCGCACCCACACAGACACCAGGCGACCGATCCCAGAGGCGCCCGAGCCGTCTCTCTCATTCAAACCAGCCTGGCATTAAAAAACCCCGAGCGACGACGGGGTCAACAGGGTGATAAGGTGCCGTGAAATGGATATCTGGGAACCCGAGCCCTCCGGGGGGGTGCTCACCAGATAAGCAGACTCAACATCCTTCTCCCTTATCCGTTTACCTCAGAGAAAATATTTGTAATGCACAAACATCTCGCCCTGGGAGGCTCATCAGGCTAGGGGGTGGGGGACAAACAACGAGTACGTCGACAAATAACCGAATAGACACAACCGGCACGAAGCCATCTAACCACACCACAGAAAAATTACGAGTACCAACGAAATCTGGTGTCAAGGTGAAGAAGAAGATAAGACGAAACACGTCATGGAAACGGCCTTTAAGGAAAACACAACCGACAATACAACGAGAAAGCGACCGGAGATCAGCCACCTCGAAATAATAATTTTAAAAAACACTAAAACTTGGACTAACGAGCGCTCGAGAGCCCGCCCGCTCAAAGCATCAAACTGGAAAATGACTTCAACTGGTCAGAGCTGAATGGAATAAAACGAAACGGAATCCGTGCGAACCGCATGCCTTGAATTGAATTAAAGCCGGAATCCAGTCGAGATACGAGACGAGACCGACTCCGGGCATGCGGGGGAAGGGGTCTATAAATGGGATCCTGAAGACAGGAAGGAGGCATGGAACAGTCACATAGTGGAAATGATGCTGGGAAAAAGTGGACGGTCCGGATTCCACTGGGAACGGAGGCCAATGGACTCCCTCCAGGCCTAACGACCTTGCCCTCCTCCTCCTCCTCCTTAGCAAGCCAACCCCGCTTCAGTATTTTTTTCGTGTCTCTCGCGAAGATTAAAAGCCTTGGGAAAATTCGACAGGTGGAGGATTCGATAAGGAAGATGGAGTCTGGGAGTACAAGACCGAGGAGAGAAATAGAGAGACAGAAAAAAGCTGATTGATGAAGAGATTCTGGTCACGGATCTGGACCATTCCACGTCCGAACCCCTGCAGATAAGAAAACTTCAGCCTCTCTTTTTTTTTTTCGTCTTCTCTCTCCATTTCGATATCACCCTTTACGGCAATCGACTCCTACTAAAACTTTCCTCCCCTCTCCCCTCGACAAGGTTTCAAGTCGGGAACAAACACTATAACAAGCGTGGAAAAAAACGTGCGAAATGAGGTTCTTTTTTTCTGAGGGGGGGGGGGGAAGGGAAGGGAAAGGAAAGAAGAAACAAGCAGGCACCCTGGGGGTGCATTCACCTCTGGCGCGAGTGTTACCCGAGCAGCCTTTGAAGGTTCGCACATTTTCCCCTCCTCATCCACCTTGTGGTCCCCCCCCCTCATTTTCGACAACAGTGTTGCCATCTGCGAGGCACGGGGGTGGTTCCCCTGGAAGGCAGGTCAGCCGAGCGTCGCATGATGGATCGACATCCCTGGCCGCGGCTTCCGCTTCCCAAAAACAACCTCTGCCGAGGTGACAAGACGACTTTCCGCATGGGAGGCCCACTTTCCTCGTCCGAGTCTCGCGCACACAGCATCAATTAGCGCCCACCCTTGATTTTCGTCTCTATCTTCCTCCATTCACTTCCAGGAGCGCAATCGAGGAGTTCTCGTAAGTGGGCCGGTTCCCCTCCTAGCTCATCTCTTCTCGAGGCAGTTTTCGAGTGCTCGCCGGGAACGGAGAAAGCAATTAAGTTCGGTGGCGACCTGCCAGCACGGAATGAAGAAAAAGAGAGAAGGAGAGCCGGATAAAGAAAACAGTACGACACGTCCCAAAGTCCTTTGTCACCCGCCACACGGCCGAGGTTCCGTGTCGGCGGAAAACCTCATTACCAGCGATCGATCGGGGCTTTTGTGTCCCCCGGACCGACATGGCACGGCGCAAGAGGTTTCATCGCGAGAGACGACGGGAAAAGGGGACGGCGGAAAGGAAAGCCAAAGGGACGGCATTAGCATCATCCGATCCAATCAGATCCACCGAGGGAAGACTTGCCACGAGCCCAATGAATCATCCGCGCTTTTTCTTCCCCCCTTCGCTTCCTTCCCCCTCCCCCAACCTTCTACTTCAAAACCGGAAACGTGGGAGAAAAATCTCCCACATCCGTTGACGTGATATCTCCACATACATCCACCCACCTCACTCACCTCACTCACCTCCCCCCCCCCCACAGTCTATGTCCGTCTGCAACGACACGTGTCGAGATACGCGACCTCGGTCGAATTTTAACCTGTCGCTCTGGATTAACTACTTCTTGGACAAGAGTCCCTTTTTTTCCCGAAACAGGCACGATAAGATAGCTAAGGTATGTCGTACCACATGGGGAGCACGGCTATCTCTACCAGGGCTTCCCCGTCTGCCTGGGACAAAGGTCACGAGTTCCAAACGACTCATCTCTATCTACAGTTCTATACACATCCCTTCCGATAATAATAATAAAAATAGGGTAAAAGATTATGAGCAGTAAAATGCCACTTAACGCTGGATGAAATGCCGGATGACGAAAGAACACGTGCAATAAAAAAAAATGACGTAACCGACAGATTAACTCCATCCGCACGGGCCCAAAACCTCGCGCGCAATAGACGGATATAGATTTTTCCCTCCGAAGCCGACAGGAAAAAAAAATAAAACGTCCCGCCAACAATAGAGCTTTCGCTTCTCTCCAGAAAGCAAACGGGAACAATACGTGTGTACAGTACCCGGCTGCGCCTTAATTTTTTTTTTTTTTTCCTCCCGCTGGAAAGAGGATTTGCTCCTGGCGTCACAGAGCTAAATTGAATGAAGCAAAGGCCCATTTTCTCCTCATATTCCCAACTGTGTACGTCTGCGCTGTATTTGGTACAAGCCTCGAATCCCCTTCTTGGAGGAAGAAAAGCCTTTCTTACAAAGTTTCCTTTCGAGACTCAAAACGTTTTTTTTATATTATTATTTATCTGAAAAACTATGAATTAAAAAAGCCAGAGTGGACTCATAACTCTGCTGCATTAGACGACACACGGCAGATCGGATCTTCTCAAAGTTCAGACGCGTGCGTCCGTTTACACCTATTGTTTGCTTTTTTCCATTTATATATTTTTAAACATAGTACCTTTAAACAGATACCACTTCAAAATTTCAACGGAGTCCGCACCATGAAACGCAAAAAAAAAACGGAACCACAAACACGCTATCGGTCACGATCCGATCCACTCTGCACACCGCTTCCGGTCGAGCAAAAGCACGAGTCCACCCCGATTTAAAAAAAAAACTAAATCCGATGAAAATAAAAACACAACTCACAGGGGTTCTTACCTTGGCCATTTGAGCCTGGATTCCCCGGCCCTGCAGCGCCCTCATGGCCCTCAGTGCCGCCTCTGGAGATTCGAAATCCACGAACCCGTAACCTGACAATGGAAAAAAGGGAGAGACGATTTCCTAAGTCATTCCGAGAACGAATTGCGATTGCGCTTCGACCGAAAGCAAACACTGGAAGCCGTTCGAAACGGGAACGGCCTCATGTTTCTTCCAAAAGACGGTTATTAGGGCCTCGAAACACCATGGCGGTAATTGAACCGTGTTCCTCCTTTCAATATACTTTACTCCTTTCGACTCCTCTCCGGCCATATTGTCACAGGGAAATCGATTGCCCTTCTCGGCAGATGACTCCCGTTTTCTGCTCAGAGTAGGCTCGTAAACGATGGCAATAAAACCTAAAACTCGAGTTGAACGACCGGACGACCGCCTCGCGACCGCGAAGCCAAAAAAGACGATTAAGGGAAAAATCAACCATCCCGCCTCACAAACAGCGCAAAAAAAAAAATTTTTTTAAAGGACCTCGTGATCCCGCCCGAGCCGACAGCTGTCAACCGTGCCGTCATTCCTTGCCGTCATTCCTTCCGCAACCGGCCGGGAATGCAGATGAGAGGGGAAAGGATCTTTGAGGGATCTGGATCTCATTGCGCTAGGGGTCTTCCTTTTTTCCCTTCGAATCCCTCCTCTCGTTTCCTCCTTAGGAGACGGGAGGGGAAATCAGCTGAGAGGAGGCGAGGGAATCCCAATGAGACAGGAGGATCTCTTTCATTTTTTTTTCTCTCTCTCTCTCTCTCTCTCTCTCTATTCTCATCTTTTTTTCTCTCCTCCCGCATTTGTCATTTAAGGCGTCCCACGCCCTGACGTTTCCTTAAGGGCGGCACGGCTCTTCGCTTCGATTTCGACCGGCCTAATGACGACCGCGAAAAAAAAAGTCGAAACGGAAACGACAAGAACCGACCGGACCAAAACAACAGCAAATGAAATCGCACAACTGTGAAACCCCGGTCGAAACCTCTTCCGCGCCGACGAAGGACTGCGCCAAAACAAATACGGCCTCGTTTCCGCGACAAAAGTTTCCCCGATCGCCGGAATCACTCCAAAACGGCCCCTCGCCCCCCCCCCCCTCGCCCCCGCCCCCGCCCCTCCCCTCCCCTCCCCCCGAGATCGAGGCCACAGGCCAAAAGGCTACCCCCGGACACCGTTTCGACGATTTATACTCGAGACGGCGAGGAAACGAGTGAGAGAGTGAAAAGGCACGTTTTCCCATGGCTCTCTCTGACCTACTTGTACCTTCCGAAGAGAGAAAGAACGTTTTACCGTACCGGGCAAAGAATGGGAGCGACAAAATTTTGCAATTCGGATTCCGTGGCGATGAAACTTTCATGCGCCACAAGCTTTCTATCTGATATCCCATGTACGTCAATCGCTGAATGGTCAATGCCTCTTTTTTATGTCTTCCCCCTCCTCCCCCCTGCCCCCCCCCCCCTGCTGAGGTAGACAAGCCCAAAAAAATCGCCGACAAGCGTAGAGACCGAGGAACGTCGAACATCATCATGCAACCATCGATAAACGGACTCGAGAGGCTCCGTCGAATCGTCGATAACAGGGACCTTAAGCCACTCGAGATGGCCTTCGTCGACGGACCCGACGCGTTTCACAAAATACGTCAAGGTCCTTTTCTTTCTCCACCGATACGATTCCGGAACACACAGTCCCGCGACCGCATTCCACCGGCACTGCTCAACGGAACCAGCCAACGGTGCGGAATCCCCCCGATAAGCCGCGAATCCCATCCCGCTCGATCCCCATCGCCTCCCTCCCACTTTAAAGACCCCGACACCGGAAAAGTCTGGCCCGACCTCGGAGGTCCCTCGGTCCGCCTCCTGGTCCCTTCCCATGGCTTCTCCCCGCATTCGATCAATCGGACAGTAAATCCCATCGACGTCTCGACTCTCCGTGACGTCGCGACCGTCCATCCGTCGCGCACGCGTCTGCGGTGGCAATAAAATCCTCATCGACGGTACTTACTGCCTTCCCGGCACTCCAGTCCCTCATTTCCCTCTCATTAAAGGACTCTCACCGTACACCACGAAGCGCCCCTCGCAAACGAAACGGAGCTCGCGGCGCTCCCGTCCAAATTTCCCGACCCGACGCCATTTCCCGAACCGCGAATCCCCGCCGCGAGCACAGAAAGGCGGAACGCGAGGCAGACGGGGGTCCCTCGCCTTTCGAGGAACGGAACGAAACGGAACGGTTCACAAACAGGCTTTTCCATCACCGACGACGTCCACGTCAGAGAGAGAAAAAAAAAAGTGAGCACGTTCGTACTCGACGATGGTGCCCAACCGTGGGGAAAGATCTTTTCCGCTCTCTGATTTCTGTTCCGCAAAACAGGGATCAACAATCCACACGAGGATGCTGGGGGAGGAAAAAAAAAACAACGCGAACCAAAACATTAACGTAAATCCTTCCGGATTTATGCGGACGACGTTTCCGGACTCGAACGACGCTCTAAGAACTTTCGCATGGGCATTCTACTTCGTCTATCCAAAAGCTGGAATAAATTATAAGTTTATCCCACGATATGAAAAGAAATCGCTGGATTTAGGATTCCATCTGCGCCAACAGACCGACTCCAGATCACGGAATCCAGGCAAACTCACGCGAAAAACACAAAAAATGGGACCCGCCCCCTTCCTTCTTCACGTTCCACCCCCTCGCCCAGAAGCAAGCGAGCAACAAATGCGACTCCCAAACTTCGCCTCAAGACGAAAGGGCCCCCGCCAGGAATCCCAATCGCGCAAACCGGATCCTCGCCATCGAAAACCGGGAGCGTGCAACCCTCGCGGGCCATCGCAACTTTGTTTCACCCCTTAGCAATTAGAACCGGACGGAACCCTTTCACTTCCCTCCTTAATCCTCACCTTAATCCTCACACCCACGGAGTTGCTCGCCCTCGATGCCAAGGCTATTTTTAGACTTTTTTTTGGAATTTCCCAGGGGCTGGGAAGAGGTCAATCGGCGCGACCTCAAGACCTCACCCAGTCTACCCCACACCCCGAGGGCACACGAGGGCACGCGAGGGGAATCTCCCTACTCGACGGCTCGCATGCACAGTCAGGCAGGCGTTTACGGCTCACCGCACATAAAGGTCGCACACCCCTGACCTAAAAGGGCATTCCTGTGACAAAAAGCGACTGCCGGCCGCGAGCTCCACCAAACTTTCTACTCCGGTTCCTCTCGTACTTGGAAACGGCTTTTTTTTTTCTAAAAACCATTTCCAAGAAGAGTATCGGCTTCGATCTCGGGTTCACGGGGTGAATCCGCAATGGCAGTCCACAGCCTACCTCACCGTCTCCAATTTTTCTATTCCAAATTGCTTTCCAAGAAATGAAAAAAAAAGGAAACTAACCTTTGCACTTGTTGGTGGCCTTATCCATGATGGCTTTGGTCGATATGATATTCCCGAACCTAAGGAGGAAAAAAAAAATGATCGCATGACGTGTCTGGAGCCTCAGGAATAAAGCATGCACCAATCAGGAACGGTCGTTACGAGGGCAATAGGCGCAGGCTCCGAGAGCCAATATGCCCCTAAAGTAAGCACCCCCAAAGATGATGATGATGATGACGATAATGATGATGATGAAGTGTCCGGTTCGCCCCCCATAATTAGGACGAGAGATAGAGAAAGAAATAAGAAGGGAGAGAGGAGGACATCTTCCGGAAGAGCCCAATTAACAAGACCATGCTAATGAACCGACTCTGCGATTCACAGTGACAAAGCGCCCTTTTCTGCAATATGCGAAAATTGGCCATCGAACGAGGGGGGGGGGGGAAATTGCCG